AAATCAATATTTAAAATTTTATTAAAAATTTTAAAATATGCAGGCAAATTTGCCTGTGTTACAATCTAAGGGATAACTTCTTTAATAAGATGTTATAATATTTAATATTTTAACTATAACTTATTAAATAAGGGTTGGTGTTGTTAATTGTCTTATTATATTGTTCTTATTGTCTGCACAGTACTGTCCTGTTGGCCCGTACTATCATAATATATTTAATATTGTTGTAGTAAAATGTAAATGTATGGGTTTTATTCACTAAATTAGGAAGATATTTATCTTATTATTTAAATAACTATACATATATTATATATTAATATATAAATATTCTGGCTTTGATCAGGATCTAAAACATTAAAAATTTAAAATTTCAATTAAAATTAATTTAAAGTATATATTTTTTAAAATAATAAATTTAGGGAAATTCTATTTTGACCAGGTCAAAATGACTCTCTTCTAGAATTTAGGGTTAGTGCAGGCCAGAATTATGTTAATGCTGACCAGGTTTTTGTATTAAAAAATCTAGCCAACATCAACATAATTCTGTTTTGCACTAACTCTAAAATTTTACTGAGGGTTATTTTGACCCAGGTCAAAATAGAATTTCCCATAAATTTAATAAATTTAATCAACGTTAAACATGTTTTGCTAATTATTTACTGCATTTAATTTTATTAAATTTGTATGCAGAATATTAAAAAATGTAAATTATTATCATTAATGGTAAAATTGGTGAAATCAATTTCACTAGTATCTTTTAGTCGTAATGAAAAGTGTGAACAATAAAAATTTATAAATAGGTCAGTAGCTATTATTATAAGATTTTGAAAATAATTTCTTAAATTTAAAATTAATGTTTAATAATAAATTAAAACTTGATAATATTCTATAACAGTAGATACTGCCAAAATAAGAATAGTAAATATTAAATAATTATTAATATCTTAACCTTCTTATTTATAATTATATGAATTGTGATATTACAATTATATTGTACCAAGAGTAGTAAGTAATATACAATAACAGTTAGATAGTTTTTAAATGCACTATATTTCTATGACATGTATACACCTTGTAGGCTGTATTCTGCGATGATTTTGGATACCAAATCTTGATTTATACCTGAATATATAAGTATGAGAATATCATACTTATATACCTGGATATGTAATAGTAAAACATATTAAATATATAAAAGTATTCATACGATATATCCCCTACACAAATACCTGAGTATATAATATGAGCTAGGGGTACGTTGCAGAAATACAATATTTTAGCTTATTATCAATTCAAAATATAAATCATTATTGGGGATATTAAATTATATTTGATTCTTGAATCTGATAGAGCAGTTCTGGACTTATTATATAATATTGTAGTTTATCAATCTCAGTATTAGGTCCCAAATCGCAATTCTTGAACAAATTCATCCAATAAAGTTGAATCTTTATTGTTAAAGCAATACTGTTCAGTCAAATAGGTACTTTATTGTTAACACTAACAAATATATATTTTGGAATTTATAAAGAGATCAAATCAGGGTACTATTATATTAATTTACTAGCTATTTAAAAATATTATTTTGATCTATGAATTAAATACTAAACTAATATTTAGTTTACTGTATCAAAAAGGTTATAGGGTCTTTGCCTTGAAAATAACCTTATAGAATATAGTAACTACTATATTTATAAAGTTATTTTTAAGACAAAGCCCTATATTTTAAACAATAAGATGCAGGTCACAAATTACTATAGTAGTTTAGGCTCTGGATCAAATCCAAATTTGAAATTCTAAACAAATACTACATAATTAAAAGATCAAATTCTTTAAGCTCTTGGAAAAGATTGGTCAAAACTTGATTCCAAACTATTAATTAATATTTTTAACTATTTATAATAATGTCTTATTTCAGAAATTGTATGTAATATAAATTTATTATTTTCCAAAAAACAATTGTCTTAGTATATATTAAATGCAAATTTCAAGTTAAATTATTGAATTAAGCAGAGTAGCACCTAAAATTCAGGTTACATAATAAATCTACTGCATCATTATTGCCAAAATCTATTGTAATACCAAATGCTACTAATGATATTTTGGGAGTGCATATCATATAACCCAAACTTCGGGATAAATACACTAATAAAGTGTGATTGTTTAGACTTATAAGATTTCAGAGATTTTTTATTGTTTAAACAATAAAAATCTCTGAAATCTCATAAGTTCAGAGATTCTAAATATGAGATATTGTTAAAAAATACTATGCTTTTAAAGTTATAAATATAAGTATAAACAACCGTAAGTTTCATTTTGTTTTGCAAAGATGAATGAAATAGAATTTATAGATTCCAGTTCTGATAAGGATTTAAAAGCAAACATAAATACTGATTATATTGATGAACTGATATCTTGTGATAAACAAATATCTTGTGATGACCAAATATCTTGTGATGACCAATATCTTGTGATGAACAAATGTCATGTGATAAATGAACGTTCTATGATAAAAAATCGAAAACAACTGTTTCTAGTGATTCCTTATCATTATTTAAAGCATTAAGAGAAAGTGCTGTGTGGAAATATTTTTATAGAAAACCTTCACGTGCACCCAATCACAATATTTGCAAATATTGTGTCTCTGAAAAAAAACATAAATTAACAACTAGTATATCAACTTTAAGATCTCATCTTATAATAAAACATAAATTAAAAGTTTTTATAAACAAACATAGTCAACAAGCTGCAAAGAAAATAATTCTATTTAATTTACAGACCTAACAAAAATATACAAAATACCTTTTAGAATAGCTTATATGTGATCTTTAACTATTTACAGTCATTGATAATAGTTATTTTCATTTATTTGTTAATCATTTTTGCTCACACTATATAATTTCTAAACGAAATCAAATAAAAAACTTAATAATTAATGAGTTTAATGCTCAAAAATCTAAAATTAAAAATAAGCTTAGTAATATTTCCAGAAAATGTTCGTTAACAGCTGATATATAGACCTTGTCTATTAATCAAAAGGCCTTTCTGGGACTTACAATTCATTATGTTGATTCTGACTGGTAGTTACAAAATTTTTTGCTTGACATAATTCTATTTGATATTAGTCATTCAGATATTAATATTGTAAAAACAATTTTAAAAGCTTTAAATGAGTTCAACATTTGTAATAAGGTTATTGCGCTTATCACAAACAACACATCAGCAATGATAATATGTAGAAATGAAATTTTTGCTAGTTTTAATTTAGTATTTTCTTTAATGACCTTTTCATATTATTGCTACGCCTCGCATGTTTTAAACTTAGGTATAAAAGAAGGCTTAAAATTAGTTAGTAACTCTATTAATAAAACCTGAGCATTAATGATTAAAATAAAAAATTTATTATCTTTTTGTTATGAACTTCATCATTTTTGTAACTTAAAAGGGATACCAGATTTTTAGCCTATTATAGATATAGAAACATGATGGAATTTTACTTTTTACATGTTAAAACATACACGATGACTTAAATCTGCCTTAGCTTTACTTGTAGCTGATAATCAAGATATTAGAAACCTTTACCCTAATAAAGAAAATTAAATTACAATATATGTAAGTAAATTTTAAAAATTATAAACTAATATTATATAAAGTCAATTTCTTTTTTTTACAGTATCAAACTCAATTACTTGCTAAGTTATGAAACCAAAAAATTAATTTTATATGACCTTGCCATAAATACTATATTCTAATTAAATAATTTTATTATTAATAAGATACTCTTTCGTTCTTGAACTATTAGAAAAAGCCACTGTATACCTTTTGACATCATCATATCTAACTTTAAGTAATACTTGGTTTATCTTCGAAGAAATTCAAATATGACTAAACAATTTTATAGCAGAAGATAATTTTACACAATGTGAACTAGCAGCATTAATATTGCAAAAGCTCTCAGAATATTGAAATATAATGAATTAGTTCTCAATTACTTTAGCTATTTTAGACCCTAGAACTAAGCTTTTGATCTTTTCAAAAAAATCAATACTAAATGAGCATAAGCAAGTTAATACTATCTTTAATACATACTTAAGAGATACAGTTAGCACAACCACATTATCTTCACATAGACCAAATTTCAACTCCAATAGTACTCGACAATACTTTTTACAATTTTAGTATCATGGAACAGTACTCAATAATGAATCCACAAACTTAGATATCTTATCATCATCAGAATTAAACCAATATCTCATATTACCAAAATATAAAAAAACAAACCCTTTATTGTAGTGGTATACAAATACTAAGAAATATCTAGTTTTAAGTACAATGGCTCGGAACTATCTTTCAATTCAGACCACTAGTGTTAAATCTGAATGGGCATTTTTTATTGCTAAAAACACGATTACTAAAATACAAAATCATTTGTTATTGCAAACTGCAAGAGCAACTCTTTGTATGAAGAGTTAGATAACTAATAAAGTAGAAGAATAAAATTTTATTTCCAGAAATTTTTCATTACTTATAGTAAGTCTTGAATTTTTGTGATTTCTTCTAGGTGGTATTATTTATATTATAAAAGCAACAAGTCTGATTTATCATATAAAAAATATATATAGAAATATATAATAAGATATATCAATATAGTTTTACTAAACTAATTATTAGTAATAAAGATTAAATTAGATAGCTTATATGATTTATTCTGTTTTTAAGATTACAAATTATTTAAATTTTCTCTTTCTTCACTTGCTATCAGCTTCACTATCAAGCTCTATTCAAGTAAATAAATAAAATATATTAATAATTGCTACATTTCAGAAGTAGATATATAAGTAGATACATATATATGTTGTAAAAAACAAGATTATCCTTTTTAAAAAAGTTGTCACTATGATAACTAGTAGTATGAATTTCTGAAATTCCAGAAATTTCCAGAATTTGAGTAATTCAAAAAATAGTGGGAAAAATAAAAATAGCAGAAATAATTAGAATAATTAGAATAGTTAGAATAATTAGAATTTGCATTATTTCTATATAAGTAAAATTCTATTATATAAGTGAAGATTTCTTCTAGAAATAAAGCATGACTCCAAGAAGACCTTTGAAATAAAGGTAGAAGTGTTTGTCTTTAACTGTTGTACCTTTTTATTTAACATTGTTTGTCAATAGCATATTTTCTTGTTCTTGTGATCATCATAAATTGTATTATTATAATTAGTAAAAGAAAGAAATTGTAATCTAACCCTTATATATTAAAATTAATTCTAATTAAGTTTGTGATCAATGTTATTATATCTGATTCATGATCCTGTGATACTGTGACCTTGTACTATATTTCGATTAGCTAATTTTGATCACAAGACCTAGCCACAGTACCTATGAAAAAAAGAAATTATAATACTAGCGAAAGTGCTAAGAAGAGAAGAATACTTATTAAGGAAAACTAATAGAGCACTTCTCTGAGTCTAATACTAATTTTACTAATCTAATTAACTCTGGTTACTTGGATCAAATCTTTTCATACCTTAATCTAAATTAGAGCTTGGTTAAAAGTAGTTTTAGTGTTCTGGTTAAAATATTTTAATTGGTATTTTTTTGAGTAGTGAATTATTATATATCAACTAGTAACTTTTTTGATGCAGCCCACACTCTCTAACTTTTACAAGTACATGTGTACTATATTTGTACTAAGATGTTACTAATTAACTTGATTTATTTTAGCTCTACCTAATAGTACTTTTTTGATCAGAATTTGAGATTTTGTTAAGTTATATGATTTTGATTCATCAAAGTTATTATTACTCTTATATTAGTTTTGGAAACTATCTAGTTTGGATAATATTAATAAGTACTGTTAGACCCAAAAAAGTTTTTACTTCAAGATTTTTCATGTTCATAAAACTAATACATAAAATGCTAAAAGATCTAATAGCTCTCTTTACCATATTATATAGGCTATTATTTAATTCTTCAAAAAATATTCCTCATCAGGTTAGTTACTTGACATTATATAGGGTTGAGTTAGCATTTGATTAGTTGCAGATATATATTTTTATCAAATTGACATGCTATGTAATATCAAGTTAGGAAAATAATTTTCAAGAAATTATATTATAACCATATTTATTTTATAGTATTATATATTTATATACAGTATATACTGATTATTCTAATTGATAGTAATTGCTTCTACTGCTAGTAATTAATGCCCACCCTATTTAAAAATTTTCTGTTGATTGTAAGAACAATATTAACAATTTATATAAACCAAACCTGGTTTGAGTTTTATATTAAATTAGTTTAGTTTAGTTTAGTTTAGTTTTAACTATATAAATTAGATTAAATTTAAACCAAACCAAACCAAACCAGACTTCCTCATCCCTATTAATTTTGAAATAATATGATAGACAATCTCAAACCTTATCACAGATGCACTAATACCCCTACTTGCTGAACCAAAACTCATTCCCAGTTATCTACAAAAAGCAATTCTTTTTAACTTGCCAATTTCAAATAAGCAATTTACTGTACTTGTAGTTAAGACCTTACAGTTAATATTCTCATTTAATAAAATGTCAGACATATATATTGCTAATATCAAATAGCCTCTGCCTACCTTCTACAAGCAATTAAAAGATAAAGTATGATACCTTTTTTCTATCACAAGCAGAGCAGACCTACAAAAACTAAGCTAATATAGAGAATCATTGCAGAAATTCTACTTCTTTAAACAAATCCTATTAGAATATTTTAACTTACCTGCTTCTAAGCAACCTCTATCTTGTACTCCACAAGACTTAATACCAAGATTAAAAAAGAAATTTTCTTTTCTGCCCAAAAACCAAGAAGATTTCAAAGAGTATATTAGACTCTTATGGATAGACTATTTATTTACAAACCTCTCTAATGATTATATTATTTCTTGCAGATGTCTATCTTCAAATCTAGCTAACTGAAATAACAAACTTTGTATTTCTACTACAAAGTAAAGAGAAGGCAAATATTTTTATCAAAAGTATTCTACCTATCTATAATATTCCAATACCACTACCTTTAGCATATTGTAACTTTAACTATATAGACCTCTCAGACTTACCTAAAGATGCTAAATTGGTTACTTAGATTAATTTGATGCTACTAATCTCAACTTTTAAAGAATTAAGCATTGTAGCCAAAGCACTATATGAATACTACTATTTCTATATGATATCTCAATTCTGGATTAATATAAAAAAAAAAAGAAAAAGAAAAACCAAAGACAAGATCAAATTTAACCAAACTACCTTCAACAGTTGAACAACTTCAAGCAGCCCTTATAGAAAAAGAAATCACTAATATAAATATTTCTATAAAAAAATATCACAACATTCTCCTAGTGCTAGAAATCCTTCAAGAATATTTTGTATACTATATAGTATCTGAATACATCTTTGATCTGATAGACTACCTGAACCATCCTTCAATATCTTTGAGAAACAGGAAATATCTGTAATGACATCTGATCTACAAAAAATACCTACAACAGTAATAGATATACAAATATTAGAAGCAGAGTCAAACTCCAATACAGACAACCAATGAGTACACATCTTTCTACAAAAACTCTGCTATCAGCAAAAAATGAAGATACATCAAAACAACTAGAACTTGACCTATATAGAAAAATTAACATAGCTACTCATAATATCAGAGAATTTAATAACGTATTAAAAATACAAACTTGGATAGAATACTGTATAAAAAAAAAATTATATATAATTTCTCTTACCGAAACAAAGCTAAAAGACTCAATAGTGAAATCACTAACCAACCCATTTTACAAAATATATACCTTAAACTTCTTGTTCTATAGGCCAAATCAATAAGAGACTAGTCTAAAAACGGCCTAATAATATGCAATTAGCTGCAACCATATATCCACAAAATCAATACCTTCTTGAAACAGCAATTTGTCTTGATCTCTACTTTCCTAATAGCAACAAGTCTCTTATCAAACCATTCCTTTCTCCTGAAACAAACCCAGTTCTAGCTACTTACTTGAACCACTGAAGCCAGAGTTAAAAACTAGCATCACATAATTCTAGAAAACTTCAATGCTAACCAACTTCGGGATAAATGACTTTTTATTTTTATTAATTTAAATATAGCCAACTTGACTAGCCTTCTAATATTCTATAATATTCAAGCACCAACCTGACAAGGCTCAACTACAGCTAGCCAGATAGATAACTTCTGGATTTTCCAAATATACTCTTGGCATTTAATATTTCTCAGCTAACTGATATTTCAAATATTTTAAAAAGTGGTCACTGCATTCTACATACAGTATAGCATACAAATTTTTTATCACAAAAGTATCTAAAAAATAAAAAAAAAAACAGAAAATATACTTGTATGAGAAAATGATATTAGACGATTGTGATAATTTTAGGAAATCAATAAATAATTTTTTCAACCAATATCTTATCTTTCTTTTAAATATAAACAAAAACAGTACTAATAAAGCCTGGAACTCTTGGGCAGCAAAAGTTAAAGAAGCAATGAACAAACATATTCTATAGATCTTCACAGTTCCAAAACCCTTCTATGCTCTATTGCTAAAAGTGACCAAACTATACTTAGCTCTAAAAAATATTAATAAGTGCTTAAATTGTTTCTCGAATAACTCCATAATTGTCTTGCCAAAGGCAAACTAATACTTACTTAAAGTAGCTACTTTAGCAGATATCGATATTTTATTAATAATATAGAAACAACTCGTATCTTCTCTTACTGTCACTATAAGCCAAATAAAGCAGTATAAACATACTATCTGGCAAGTACAAAACTATGAAAAAAGGCAGAAACAAAGCAAACAAATTAAATTTTATATCAACTATAGATATTCAAACTTCAAAAACAATACTAGCTATATAATAGATAGTATCTTACAAAGAAGAGTTAAACTAATCAGCTTTGAAAAAGTTGTTCTATCAGATGAAGTAATCACAGATGAAGACAAAATTAAAGAGGCAGTACGTTCATACTTTAAGTTGTAAACCAAAAGCAATTATCCTAATAACACCCTTTGAAAAAAATAGAAATCAACCTACCTTCTACTAAATATATGCAGAAACTATTTATAATAATCTTCTTACTCCTATTACTATAACTAAACTTGAACAAACTATAAAGCTAGCATCTAAAGAGAAAGCAACAGGCCCTCTTGGAATCTCAAATAAGATTTTCTAATATTTACTTTCAGTAGCTCTATCCTCCCTTCTGAATATTTTGAATAGTTGTTTAGC